TGTCACCCTATACAGTCGAGAGACATTAGTGTCCTGTGCTGTCATTTAATCGTTCTCCGATTGAGCACGTTCCTCTTTTAGAGTCACCATTTGATTACATTCCACTCCACTAGGACTTCAACTTTTGGAAATTAGGAAAAAAGCCAGAAGGGACGAGGATTCTGACTGATTTTATTGAGGTACTTGTCACCAAACAACATTCTCTCCATTCCTACACGTCTTTTTACTCTTCTTTTTTGCTCTTTTGTAAGATATATTTCATTGAAACAGCTAGCTAATGCTGTTGCAAGGTAAACTCCTACACTCTCGGAAAAAAAGTACCAAACTGTCACTGGGTCAGTCCCCGTCTTGTCACTGGGGTGGTTCTCTCAAGGGTACATCTCAGTACCTTTAGTCAGGGAACATAACTGTACCATAATCTATAGAAATTATATTTTCTAAGTTGTACTGACTCCACACACCCCGTCTCGTCTCCAGGCTTTTATTTTATTGTTCTGTTTTAAAACATTTGGTTATAAAAAGGTACAAATATGTACTTTTCACCTGGATAAACTTATTTAAGGTTCACAATTGGATCTTAAAACTACTGTTGTACCTTTGAGGGAACACTTTCATTGTTTGTACCTTGACGAATGAAAAATGTACCTGCACAGAACCTTTATTCCGCATCCTATTTCAAGCAAAAGAGAATCGAGTCTGGTAGTTCTTAATTCTTAATTCCAAAAATCAGGAGAAAAACCCCTTTCACACAAGCACTTTTACGCAGGAATTTAATAATTAAGCAGAACGGGGGTTAAGCGTAAACTCATGCCGGAGTCAGAATGCTGGTAAGATCAATGCAGAGATTCACCTAATTACTTCCTCACAGATGAACAGACGTCCCTACATTACCAGGAAAATAATGACGTCTCGACATTGGTCAGCAAAGCTGAATGTTTCAGTGACGCATTCGTCTTTACAGTTGAGTAGAGGATGCATCTTGGTACGGAAATGTTCTTTATTGTGCTGTTAGCGCACACTTACACTGTGTAGCTCTTGAGGCCTAGTGGCTAATGCAAAGACTGCCACCACCCCCCAGCCAAACCAGTGGGAGTAATGATTTCACTCAGAATTCATGACAACAGACTCACTAGACAACTTCAAAGATACACACACGACACAAAGACATAAAGACAATGCTGAAACAGGCTAATTAAAGCTAGAACAACAGTTTCTCAGCACCGACGAGGCTCAGTCATGAAAACAAACTAAACACATGCACATGCAACTGAGTCACCACAGTTTTTGTTCATGACTCTAGAAAAGTGCTCAAAATCTAGCCCTTGTGCGTGCATGACTGCCACAGCACAAAAGCATGAGCAGCGCACAACGTTTATGCGAGGCTTTTGTTTTTACCACAGATATACAAACATTCATTGTAAGCCATTTTTTTGTTACAAATTTCACATTTTACTTTGTTTTCCACTTTTTCTGATATAAAACACAGCTGATCTATTTATGTGTGCATTGTGAAAGGACCCATTTTTCAGACAGGCTGTCTAGACAGTGGTAACAGAATATCTCATACATGATACCTCGCGCATCTATGATTTGACACTTGAGGGAAACCTGAACATAACTGTGTGGAATCGAGTCCAAAGCTTTGGAGTTGACTATTGATTTCTAAATGCTTGGAGTAGGAAAATAGACTCATTCTGGGATTGACTCCCAGACCGAAAAATTCCTGTAAATTTTACTATGTGAATTTAAAGATGGGCCCTTTTTGGCCACCTATTAGTTCAAAATGACTTTAGACACCTCAATATTTTGGACACCCAGAGGCATTTTTTCTCTCAAACATTGGCTTTTCAGAAATGGACTTTCTCACAATACAGCAAAATATGCTAGCACATGCACTTTAGCAACAGTATCAATGATCAGGCCATAATTGGTCCCAAGGGTCTCGGTTTTGGTGCTCATTTGCTGAGGGGTTTAATCAATCAGGCCCAATTTGTCTTCTCCACTGTCCTGTATTTTTTCATCCTTTCTTACAGGCATTCCTCCCTTTAACACCTTTCCTTGTATACCTTTTCTTTTCCTAACTGCAGTACTCTCCACCATCCCTCTCTCTCTCTCTCTCTCTCTCCCTTTTTCTCTCCAGCTGGGTCATTCAGCACATTTCTCATGCTGCAGATTTGCTGGCGTGGCACTTTCTGCTGCCCCGGGGCTGCTATTTTTAGCCCAACACCACACATCTACATCACAAAAGGAAACGCGGGACAGGCCAGCGCATGTGTGTGTGTGTATATGTGAAGGGAGTAAGGGGTTGTGGGTTTATGTGGAGGGGCTTCGTTTAAAGATAGAGGAAGGGTACTACGATAAAACGGCCCAGTCAGGCTTAAAAGGGCGAACTTCAAAGGCAGGGTCTGGCACGGATGTTTGATATTTTGGTAGTATTAAGAGGATAAAGGGGCATTTTGGGGCGAATGAGGGTCAGGTTGTCTGCGGGGGTCGGAAGGGGGTGCGGGATTTGGCTGGGTATGATTTTTTGACGGGGCTTTGAAGATGAAGGGCTGCGGGAGCTCAGCTGTGGACTTTCTGGACACAGACGCAGCTGATGAGGAAGACTGGGAGACAGAGAATAAGCCAGAGATGCCCAGAAAACCTGCAGATGGTTACACACACATGCATACAAGAGCTCCCGCACATATGGGCGTGATCAGATACAGGCGTGCATGTGCGAGCACTGGATCACACACACAAACATATAGGAACGTGCATATAAAAACAAAACTACACACTTTCACATTCATACAGAGTTTGGAAGACCATCTCGGTCTTCTCTTCAATCTTTTATGTTTCTTTTCTTTCTATCACATACATACAAGCCAAAAGTATATAAGCAAGCAGTGACATTTAAATGTCCGTAAATATTTTTTATTATGTTAATATGCCAACAATCAAGTGTTCCAAACTATTCCACTGGTTTGCAAATGTACTATATAGGAAAAGCCTTCAGTCTTTATCTTACATTTACCAGTTTTTAATTATTTACAGACCCCTAATTAACACACGTGATTCAGTTCACCAAGACTTCAAGATCATCTGAATAAGCTGTATTAAAATAGGGCAGGTTTAGGACTGAAAATATGAAAAAAAGAGCAGGAACAAGCAGAAAGACAGCAGTAAACGTGCTCTGTTTATCTATTACTGTCCATTATCTCTTTCACATACAATATCCATTTATTTTATCAGAGTGTTGCCTCCAAGCTTTTGGCCTGTAGTGCGCGCACACGCACACACACACACACACACACACACACACACACACACACACACACACACACACACACGGACATACATGCACAGCTACCCCACAGTTACGCAGACGTGTGTTTGTTTTTCACTGAAAAGCACAATTTCTAGACAGATCCTTCAGATCTCATAAGGACTGGCTGAGACATCTGCTGATTGGCTGACTTCTTGACTTACAGACCAATAGTAAGAGTGCCAGGACACACCACAGGACACTGGACCTATGACCTGTTAGCTATAGGTGACTAAGGAAATTAACGCTTTCCCTGTGGCTGGCCATATGGGCAGAGCACCACAGTCACATGGACACAATGACCTTTAACCACATTTATTGGTTTCTCATGGATAAATAGAAACATTTTTTGACTTTGAAGCTTGAATCAAAATAAACAGATCACTAATGACAGCAAAAACATAGTATTTCATTTTGGTAGTTCATTAAACCAAAACGTTAAAGATGTGCAGTTAAGTAACACACACACACACACACACACACACACACATAATAGCTGTAAGAGATTATATATTACAAGTTAAAAACTTTAATATGGAAACTAATCCAAAGGATTACTTCATTAAAGTGACGGAAACTAATGAATTTCCTTTACTTGTGGATTATTCATCTTTTTAAAAATGTTATTAAATAAAAACTAATTCAAACTAATTTCAGTAAGACATCTTTAAATCTTTTTTTATGAAAAAAATGATATAGTTTATATATAATTGCCAAAACTATGCCAGAATTTCATTTTAACTGGGGAGCCTGGGATGCCAGTTAGAAAGCATTATGGCCCAGAGACATTGTTACAGTGAGGCTGACAACCACTAACTACAAAACTAGACTACATTGTAGTTTCCACATTTAGAGAGAAAAAACTGCTGACCTTTTACTGCCTACTTGGCTTACTATAACAGCTGACAGCACACCATGGTGGGTAAAGGCTAGTAAACAAGAGCCCTTCCTTGTACAGCACTAGCCATAGATGTCTAGAGCAAATAGCTGAAGACTGTGACTGTGACATTCTTGTTGCTTTTTATAGTACTGTACCACTTTCTCAGTTGTCAGTATGTCAATTTCGCTGTACTGTTCATGCCATACGCAAGTGACAGAGATATTCTTTGCTCCTCATAAAAAGGTAATGGGTGTCACTGGATCGGCCACTTTCTACTTTGGTAATATAAAGCACTGACTTTCACTTGGCTTAGATGTCAGTAGCCCTGTTAGAGCTGTTTTGGAGATGTAGCCTGTACCTGTAATCTGATTACTGTCTTTTTTCTGTAACTATAACGGATTAGAGTTAGTTCTTTTGTATCCTGAGTACATACTGTTGTTATACATATTCTGTTACCACTCAACCCTGATGTTAATGTAGCAGGACAGGTCATATTGGACCAAGTCTATTGGACCATTCATCATGAAGTGATCACACAACATAAAGATCATCTGGCGTTTTCAAATTTGGCAAGACAAACAAAAACATTGGGGAAAAAGCAACTCATGACAGCCTACAGAGCTTTGATACTAAGCACTGACTTCAGCAAGCTTCTAGCATTGACGCAATAGCTAAATTAATATTTAGGTCTCAAGAAAGGTGAAGGAAAAAAACCTGTGCTGCGCAATCCTGCTATGACATCACTATGATGCATAAACCAGTACACTGGAGAGTGTATGTGTGTGCGAGTTTCTGTGTGTGTATTGGACTTACGAGGAGGTGGTGGTATGAGAGGGGAAGTGGTGCTGATGGAGAGAGGGGGGAAAGGGGGAGGAGGAATGTTGGGAGGAAAGAAAGGATGCAGTTTGGGGGGCTGCAACTCAGCATCCGAGGACTGCTCAGAGGAGGGCTGCACCTGCAACACACACACACCCACACAAACCCACCCGCACCGCAACGCACACACAAGGGCAAGGTTTATATAACAACACTCTTGACGTGCTCCATTCATTAAACACAAATGTGTCTCCCACCTTTACTTCCCACTCCCTCTCCCTTTGTCCCTCTCTCTCTCTCACATAGACACACCTGTGTGTTGCTCTCATCTGAGGTGTGACGTCTTCGTCCTTCCACACGACTGATGGTCCCCGTCTGTCCTCCAATGACACTGATGGAGCTGTTCGACTTCCTATCCTCACACACACACACACACACACACACACACACACATACACACACACACACACATGGATCATGAGTATTAAGTCCATTTAAGTTAAGATGATTTTCATGTTTACACGCGAGGTGTAGGGAGAGAACAGGGAATGGAAAGAGCACTGAAAGTTCCTACCTACTGTGGTGATATTTTGAATTCATCTAAAGCTACACTTTAATTCACTTTAAAAGGTACACTATGTAAGATTAGGGGATATGGAGACCTCTCTGGTGGAAATGTGTAATGGCATGCAACATGCAGAAGAACATTTGTAACATCAGTTGTATATGGATCTCTTCCCCGAGAGGATGAATCTGATGATTTCAAGAGTGTTGAAAGTATTCAAAAAGAACTCAGTCCAAACTTGTTTTCTGTGTCTACATTTTTTAATAAAAATATGGAAAATTGTGGGTATAAACATTGTCAAAATTTACCATCCACTCCCTACTCCACACAGTCCTGATATCGAAACTAAGCTGCCAAAATTTGAACCTGTTGTTTTCGTGACATCATGAAAACCCACTCATTTACATATGTGTGCCTATTCAGCCCGTAGCAGTTTAGTCCCGCTCATTCATGTTGAAGTTATAAGGAGTGTTTCCTCTCCATGGCAGAAAATAAGAACAGATGTTATTTACATATATTGGTCTTAAAGACACAGTAACAAAACAGTCCAGGTCTGCTAAAATCTAAAAGTTAAAGACAGGTTGGAAAATGTTTATGTAAAAGTGAATTATAACATACATAAAATCACAAAATTTCATTAGTTGTCCACAGGGGAAAAAAAATAAATATATTTAATTATTTATTGATCATTGGTTTATCATACTGTACTTCACTGCTGTTTTACAAAAACTTCATGTGCCTAAAGATACCCCTTCGAACTGAAATGCACAGCCTATTAGGGCTTATTTCATTATTATTAAATCAAATGATTTGATCAGATCTGAACAGCATGTACAGCCTCATACAAATACTTGATGTATTTTCACACAGCAGACAAAAAAAAAATCCTTGTTCCCACAATGCAACAGATTTAAAAACACTTCTTCCATAACACACCTTATATTAATTCAAGCAAACTTCTACAAGACCGCATGTGCATGAAAGTACACAGTACGTGAACACTCCCACAGATTCAGACAGGCATAAATTAAACACTAAGCTATTTCAGTCACTAAGACTTCATAAAGTAAAAATGGACCACATCAATATTGCATTTGCTATTACACATAACCCGGAAACACAGAAACCTGACCTAGCGCTTAGGAGGGCCTTGAAGGAATTGTTAAACAAACTAGGAGGGGAAGGTTCACGAACAAACTTTAAGGTGGCTTGACAAAGCCATTGCTATGAAACCTCAGCTGCAGCTATGTTACCCCAGCTAGTTGCTAAGATGCTGCAAGGCCACTGCTATGGAATCCCAAATGGATTCTAAGGTGTCATTTCCACGGGTCATTTCCATGGCATCCCAAGTGGTTGCTAACATACACATATATATATACACACACACACACATAATATATATATATATATTATGGCAAGCCAAACAGGAAATATTTAATGAACATTGATATATATGGAATGAACATCATTATATATGTACAATGAACATTGATATATATTGAATGTAAGTTGCTGTTGAAGGGTTGAGGATGGCCAAGAAAAACTGTACATCAATAAATGGGCATTAACAAACTCCAGGTGGAGCTTATTATATTTGATTGAGGTAGGTCACTCCTAGCCCTACTCTTTCTTCTGAGGGTCACCAAACACAAACACACTCTCCCTAACTCTGAGCTGAGGTAGTGACCTACCTCAATTTTCAGTTGCTTTTCAAGTGGCATTGTTTTCCCTTGCTCTCAATAAAAGAGCATTTTTCAAACAGAAGTTATGGCCTCATCTGACTCTTCTTCTGCACCATGTCAAATTATGTATATATTGAAACTGACCCATCTGTTTCTTCACATCATATATCAGCCACTCTCAGGTCACTCTGTCCACGGGATCACTGTGTATAGATACTGGTCACTTTATCAGAATTCCCTTCCTTTAAGCTCCACCTGGAGTTTGTTAATGCCCATTTATTGATGTACAGTTTTTCTTGGCCATCCTCAACCCTTCAACAACAGCGACTTTCATTCCATATATATCAATGTTCATTGTACATATATAATGATGTTCATTCCATATATATCAATGTTCATTAAATATTTCCTGTTTGGCTTGCCATAATATATATATATATATATATATACATACACTGTACAAAAATTATACATCCCAAAAGCACAAGTGCATTATACTATTGCACACACCTGTATAAGTTCTACGATCCTGCAAAGTTTTTTGGCTCTAGCTCAAAAACTGTAACCCGTGAAAATAGCAACTGAACTTTCCTTCTCTAGTTTAGCACTGGAGCTACAAAGCTATCATAGACAAGCAGTGGAAGCTAACAGTTACCAGTAAAACCTCATGCAAAACTGCATGTCTGAATAATCACACGTGCATCAAACTGCATAGAGTTGTTAAGTAGTCGTTAATAGACTTACTCATGCAGTTTCTGACACTTTGTGACACACTGGTATCTATAAAAATGGACAAAAATACACCTAGCAAAAACACAGAAGTGGCAGCCATCAACTAAGTCTATACTTTTTCCGTTTCATAGAATTTTATAGATGACTATTTTTGGAGAATATGTGTGTATGAGAGAGGGAAAGAGATAAAGAGACAGAGAGTGAGTAAGAGAGATCCATAAATGGAAAACAGTGCACAAGGAGAAAGGGTGAATGAGGGATCAGAAAGGAAGGACTGATGCTGACAAATACAAAGGGTCTACAAAGGCCACAGTCAAAAGCCATTACCATATCATTCAAAACTGAGGACTGGAGTCCAGCAGAGTTTGATTTCTCAATTAACTGAGTGATGAATTGAACCAGGTGTACAATACAGTACATCTACAGGGTTCACATTACTGGAAAAGGAAATTTCCTTGCTTTTTTGAAATAAGAGAGTTGGATGTAGCATGTAAGTCCTGTTTAAGTTTTAAAACATACCATTCCCTCCCCAGTCATACAATTCATATATCGACAGTGAGCTGCGAAAATAGCCTGTTCTGAATTCACAAAAGTTTCCGTAAGGTCTTTAAACTTCATGCATTTGCACATATTCACCTACTCAGCCTACACCAGTTTATCCTCACCTATTCACACTGTAGTAATAAGGAGTGTTTCTGCCTGGACTGCTTTTTGAATGAGGCACTGTACAGGGCAGCCAATTAAAACTGAGACTGTTTACATATATCAGTTTTAGAGGTGCAGCAAAAAAAACAGCTTGTTAAATAGTTATGTAAAAATGAACTGTAACTGTTTTGGTACATAGAACCACACATATGCCATAAATGGATGTTAGGGACAAAATAAAACATAGAAAATGCAACTTTTCAAGTTGAATAACACATCAAATATGTTTCTAAACACCATTGTTATGCTAAACGTTTTCACCTCTTCTGCTCAAACACAGTAACATCAGTAAGAGAAACTGAAACTAACAATCATTTCCACAATCATTATGTCAGTTTGTTATGGCTTTGATTAATCAGTTAATCAGGAAAAGGAAAAATGCGGCCAATAGTCTGTCAATAACTAAATATTTCATCTTTTTTTTTTTTACCAATTAAAAATATAAGGATTAGTTCTCCTTTTGCACAATGCTGTTTCAAACATTAAACATCTACCCTATCTTCTAAATCATACAACAAAGGAACAATGCATGAACACGGCAGTCCAAGTATTATTACCGAGGAAGTTTAATTCTACCAGATCCTCGCATTGCTTTTCAGATTATGTCTCCTGTTATGATAAAGCAAAAAGAAATTCATTTGTTTGTGTGGCCAATAACAAGTAATTAAACTTCATATTACTGAGCACCCAGAAGCAGCCCGGTTATCAGCCATGTCAGACATGCAGGGCCACAAAACATGTTCACCACTCGTGGATCAGCCATAACCACGCATGTGACGTTCATGATTTCATAAACGTGCATCAACATGAAAACAGAAAACAGTTTTTAAAATCTCCACTCTGGACAGCATTTTCCAAAAGCTCCATTAAACACAGCTTTTGTGCCTGGCAGGAGGTCAAAATGCAGAGAAAGAAAATACGCTTTCAAAAATATCAATATCTCTGTAGACGAGCAAGCTATTTCACTCACTGTGAGAGGTGCAGAAACAACAAAGGAACAATACATGAACAGGGCAGTCCAAGTACCACTATGGAAGAAGTTTAATTCTACAAGAACTTCACATGTTTGGTAGCAATAAATGTGTGCACTGCAAACATTATGTTTCAGCAAGTGAAATTCTCGTAAATTAAGTCCACATATCTATTATTTCTTATTTTGAGATGGATGTTGCCTCATTATAAGATTACTTCATTTAATTCTAGACATTTTAATGTGTTTTACGTGATTCTAGTAAGTCAAATTATCTCACTATATTAGCAGATAATTTGGTTTGCTTCAAGCACATTTCTTACAACTGAAATCACTATATGCAATAGAGCAGTATTAACAAATAGGCATAATTTAGTCATGCAGTTTAGCAGCTCATCCCTCCAGCCAGTGGTGTTCATGGTGCTAAACCAAAAGAGAGCTAGCTAAAAAGTAGACTATAGTTTTGTTATTCTCAGTATTAGTGCACTGCAAAAATGATGTCTTAGCAGGTGAAATTATTTTAAATTGAGTCAATATATCTACTGTTTCTCATTTTGGGATGGTTGTTGCCTCATCATACTATCACTTAATTTATTTCTAGACATTTCAATGCATTTTAAGTGATTCTAGTAAGTCAAATTATCTCACCATATTGGTAGATATTTTGGTTTGCTTCAAGCATATTTCTCACAACTACAATCACTTAATACAAGTAAGAAGTCTAAAAATAAGCTAAATAATCTTAAAAGGCAACAATCATCTCAAAATGAGAAAACTCAAACATATTGACTAGATTTAAGATAATTTGACTTACTAGAATCACCCAAAACACGTTAAAATGTCTAGAAAGCCAATGAGGAAAGGGACTACATACCTGCAGGAATAATCAGATTTAGAGGAGAGATCACCACGATTCACCTACAGAGAGACAGAGAGACAGAGAGAGAGGGAGAGAGAGAGAGAGTGTAAGGGAAACACAATGTGAAAGAGAGGGTCAGAGAGACATAGAGAGACAGAATGGAAGAGAGAGGGTGAAAGATTGAATTGGAGAAAAAGACAAAAGAAAGAAACAGACAGAAAAAAACATAAAATGAGAGAAAGCCAAAAAGACAGAAAGTCAGAGAGCAAGAAAGAGAAAGAGAGAGAGAGAGAGAGAGAGAGAGAGAGAGAACATTACACACACATTACTGTAAAGGCTTCCTTTACACCCACATGCCTTAGATTGAATTAATTAGGACAGAGTCAAGAATAACAGAGCGTACAACGACTTTACTGGAGGAGCCCAAGGTCATGACTTCTATGCTCATTCGCAGTCTCCTCTGTTTGTCACAGTACATCTTCCAGGTGTCCTCGTTGAAGCCATAATTAAAATAGTCTGACAGGTCCGCACCTGGACACACACACACACACACACACACACAAACAGACATGCACAGCAAGGAAAAGTCATGAAATTGCATCTCAGAACAGCTCACCTATCATAAATGCCTTTATTGGAGACAGGCGCTGATAGCTGGAGATATAGTACTGTGCAAATATCCGAGACCACCTTTCTTTTATTTAGTTTCTAGTCAAAGTGGTGATTTAAGTACAAGTTATTCATTTTTAGGAAAAAAGCAGAAAACATATTTAACTGGAATTACACAGTAGCCTCAACAGCTAAATATAAGGTCAGGTTTTTTAGTATTCAGTGCCCATGTGTCAAACACATGGCCTGCACGCCAAGTCAGGCCGGTGGCACAATCGTACTTGGCCCGCAAAATAATTTTACTTTTCTATTAATATTAGCCTGTTTTACTCTGAGCTGCACTACAGTCCCCAGCATGCACTGCAACATTATGTGCACTCCGACGCCCTTCCTCCAACAGCAATCTATGGGACAGCAGTTACACAAAAAGATAAGATGCCTGGTGTCTAGTTCAAGCAAATAGGCAGTTTTTAAAAACATACCTCCTGTGGACATTTAAAATGATTTAAGAGATATCTGTAGCTATGTAGCCTATTGTTTTATATAAAACAATATATTTTATTTAATTTATTTTTTTAATAATTCAAATATTCAGTGCCTATTTTTGTTGTTGCATTTTTGACATATCTGTATAAGGCCAGTTTGTGCCATTTTCATATTCGTTTAAGTAAAAATGAAATAAAAACACAGCTGGCCCACGGATTTCTTGAGATTTTTTAATATGGCCCTTTTAGCGGTTGAGTATGACACCCCTGATTTAGTGTGTCCACCTTCTGTGCCTTTATTATAGCTTCCATTCTTTTTAGGAGACCTGATTTCAGCTTTCAGCCCAGAAATTTGCAGGGATATTTCTCCACACCTCCAGTTCTGTCTTAGAAGTCGGTTGCATTTTCTGCTTCTCAGAATCCAGGCAATCCCAAACCCATTCAGTGATCCTGAAGTCTGGACTCTGAAGTGGTCAGTTCATTGTTCTGAACACTAGCAGCTTCTTTGCTTGATTTGCAAATTATCTTCTTTTTTGTTCATTTACTTTTCTCAGTGAGGCTTCTTGACAGCTATACATCCTTTCAGACTTCATAGCTTTGAGCTGTCTTCTCACAGTGGAAGGATGGACAGAAGCACCTGTAGATTCTTTCAGATCTTAGCAAGAGTAAAGCTTGATTTTTTTCCTTTCTCTCAAAGATAAAAGCTTAAAGAAATTTTATTTGATGGTGAAGGTTTTATGGTCTACAAGCTCTGGTATGGTTGTTAGGAGCCCCATAAAGTTGCCTTTATTAGTAACATAAGGCATCCCTGACCACATGCTACTCCATTATTCACACAAGATCCAAGGTTAGCACAGAAGCATTCAAACTCTGTTTTCCATGTCCATTCACACCCATCAGGCTCATATTTCTATTAAATCTAACCTAAAATGCTTTCAACCCATCCAACACACACACCTGGTTTCCTCCACGGCTTCTCCTCAAATGACTCTACATCCGCGTCCAGCAGAGTGCCACTGACGCTGTCCTCAGCATCCAGATCCACTCCTCTGACCTTCGTGCCTGAGGAAAAGGAGAATACACACAGGAGTTAAAGTGCACCAGTGAGAAAAGCTTTGTCTTGCACACTCACTGGTCAGAAGGTAACATTAGGGTCCCTGAAGGTGAAACAGTACTAGATGTAGATATTGGTAAGGAAACATTCAAGGAAACTTTCAGACTTGAGCCAGTACAAAAATGTCAAATGTTCCCTCATTTGCAATAGAAATTAGTTATTCATGAAGGAATATTTGGGCAGTTTGTAATGTAATCTGCTGCATCTGTATGGCAACGTTGATTACCACAATCATTTTAATGTGTTTGTGTGTTTTTAGAAATTAAAAAAAATAAATAGTTAACTCAATATGGACACACAATGTCACAACGTCAATTTTAGTGCTGATAGCACCCTCATGTGGAGAAGCTTCAGCCTGCCAAACATGCATGAGTGAGTTTTACAAACCCGATCAATACAGATGTAACAGACAGAGACAAGGTTTAAAATTGTAGGAGTAAGTTAATGAGCTGTGAGATCAAAGGTCAGAATGTTATTACCTGACAAACTGGCTCTGTCAGAGGTCTTTATTATGATATTGACAGGAGTGCTGCAGCAAAAGGGAAAACACACAGTGATTAGAATAATTATAACGGTGTCACTGTGCATTTATGCAAAGCATTTAAACTTCTCTCCTGATAAAGTGACTTTAGAAACACAAAAAACGGCACAAGAGTTTATTTTTGGCCCCTGGCCTACTCACATGGTCTGGCTGCCACCCGTTTTGATATCACCAATGGTAACACACACATCATCGTCGCTGTCCGAGTCGCTCTGAGCATCACCGTCCCACGTAACACAAGAAAAAATATTTGCTGCTTTTGCTCATTTTGCATAATAAGTGATAGAAAATTACTGATAAAGAAAAATAATCACCTGTTTGCCCACTCCATTAACACCTTCCACGTCCCCGATGAGCGCGCTGAGGAAATCAGAGCAGTGATTAAACTCCACTCTTATAATAAAAATAATGATAATAATAATAATACATTTTGTTTATGTAGTACCTTTCATACATGCAAATGAAAGTAATTTACAAAGAAAAAGACAAATAAAAAGCAGAATGGAGAAGAACAGAGAACAACAGAAAATTAAAAGCAAAAATTACGAAGGAAAAATAAAAGTTCAATTAAAAAATTAACAACAATAAAAAAAGTATAAAAACTAAAATAGTAATAAAATGAGTGCCCACTGTCTGATTGAGGTGTGGAAATAAAAACCACCCCAAACTATTTAAAAAAAAAAAAATAAATAAATAAATAAATGAAATAAACGCTTGTTAGAGGGTCTTCCACACTTTGGGAGCACCTATGCCAAAAACCTCACCACTTGTTTGCATTTATGAAGTATGAATTAAAAATACAGATATTAAATATCAGTAAACAGGGAGCAAAATGGAGATTGCCAGGGCATGTCGGCCAATCCTTAGTGTTTTCTTTAAGGCACCTAATTTAAGTCACCACATTTATCAACCCCTTCATACTTTGAGTTGAATAAGGTGTCCTGCAGCAGGGAAGACGCTACACTGTGCAGTGCTTTTTTAGAAAACCAGACTGAGACCTGAAGGTAGGTTGATAAGGTGCAGGAGGGGCTACAGTGCAGTTTGGAGTACTTCACTACCTCTCAGATCATTCTGTGTGTTCTGTTTGGGCATCTTGTATCTCTGACAAGATCAGCACCCAAACAGATGTTACTAAATACAAAAGCTTCTCCACTACAACAGGAGTGGCTTGGTGGATCAGTTTACACGCCAGGCTTCAGCAGTGAAAGCCCCTATCAGGCCTCTTTAAGGCCAATAAGCTGAGAAGTGAAATTTACACTTGGGCATCTTTAAGCTCCTGTGCCACTCCAATGAAAGTGACGCGATGCAATCGCTGAGAATCGCCGCGTCAAGCCAAGAATACGTCAAATGACTCTCGCTTTGGCCGAAGGCAAGCTAAGGAAATGGCGCTTCCCCCCTCTGATATGCATAAGCAACACACTTAATGAGTTTCCAAGCTATGAAAAGCCATCAGCACAGATACATGTGGAAATATAAGAGTTAACATGTTGATATGATTTAAAAAGTTCCAGCCAAATCTTCTAAAACAACAAGAGATCAATTACTTTGAAACTGTATCACCTCCTCTGTTGATAAGAATGTGGTCCACAGTGGTTAGGCACACACCCACCAGAGTAATGAATAATTCAATTAAAACAGAGGGACTGCATATAGATATGTTTTAGCTTTGTTATTGTCTGTAATCTGTAGCAATTCTTATTATAAATGTGTATTTTTTTATATAAGGGCTGAGGATGTAAAAATCTGTTAATGTGACATGTTTACATTTAGAACAATAATAAAAAATGTCTTAATGTGAATTTTTCCACACATGCTGGGCCTGAAGGCTTCCCATAGTGAGGTTATCACCAAGCACTGAAAGGGGCATTAAATGTACATGCTTCATTAGTGCAGGACAACTCCACCTAACGAGAAATAAATGCATCAACCGCTTCTGCTCCAACTCAGTGCCCGACTCACGCTCCCTTGCAAGCAATGTGACTCTAATACAAATGCAACCAAGCACATCATTAGAGCGTAAGCAGGACCTAGAAATAGCCAATGCTCACAGTGCCAGGGGCAGCAGTTGGAAAGTCATTGGACAAGTGCACAAAAAGTGTGTATGAGTCAGTTCAGCGGAGGGTGTGTTCAAACAGGCGGCAATATTTGGGAGCAATATTAGAGATGTATGAGAATGAACTCTACTCTGAGTAGAGAATGGATCCACTTTGGTGGGATGATAGCAGGCATGGGCCAGGTACAGACCACTCACACACACACACATCTTCTAAGCCGCTTCTCCTGTGTCGCGGGGGGAGCTGGAGCCTGTCCCAGCAATCACTGGGTGGAAGGCAGGATACACCCTGGACAGGTCACCAGTCCATTGCAGGACATACACACAGACTTATACATTCAATCACACACTCACACCTAGGAGCAATTTAGCGTGTCCAATCGGCCTGACTGCATGTCTTTGGACTGTGGGAGGAAACCGGAGAACCCAGAGGAAACCCACGCAGACACGGGGAGAACATGCAAACTCCACACAGAAAGGACCCTGGTCGTCCGGCCAGGGAATACAGACCAGATATCGATATTTATTAAATTCCAGTCAAAATGGCCATTAAGGATAAATTCATTTTCAGGAGATATTTCTAAGGTGAATAGATATTATATTACAATCTTGCATAAAGAAGGAGATTAAACAAATTAAGTGAAAAAACAGGACTTTCCAAAACTAAGGTTGAAAAATGAAAATGAAAAATGAGAAAATGGGACTCACCAAATAAGGTGGGCAATATGATATTTTATCATTATCATGATAAATGATTTCTTTTCTGAGGATCTCATGGATAGTCAACATTTACAGAACACCGACTGCATGTTTCATTACGAAGACAGCATAATTAGTCGTTTAATTGAATTCAGCGCAGAAAAGTTTGTGAAACATTGAATAAAAATTGCTGTAGTTTTGTAGGTTGTATGCAAAAAAAGTTTAAAGCATATTAAAGTATATTTTAGTAGCATTTACAGTATGTTGCACTACAGGTTCTGTTCGTTTGATCCAAATTATTAAAACTAAATGCTGTGACGTATATCATGTATCGTGAAAATGTCTTGAAGTATCCTGATATACGTTTTTTTACATATCACCCACCCCTTCCACCAAATGTGTCACCAAATAGTATTCAAAGTTTTCGTCTTTGAGAGAGAGGAGAAAATCAAACTCTGCTTTCTTCCACTGTGAGAAGACAGCTCAATGCTATGGGTCGGAAAGATGTATCTGTCAAATAGAGAAAAAGAAATAGACAAAGAAAAGAAGATACGAAACCCTGCTGGTGACATCTTGTATAAATAAAAATAATGCGTGGCCATGACTTAGTAAGATGTGGGAACAAGATCCTAACGTGTGGCCACGACTTAGTGGCCACATTGTTATAAGGCATTCCCTTGCCTTACTACAATGTGGCCACGCTTTAGATTCCTGTTCCCACACCTTACTAATTCGTGGCCACTCATTATTTTTATTTATATGGGATGTCACCAGCAGGGCTCTGTAAGAAGACAATCTGCAAATCAAATAAAGAAACTACTGGTGTTCTCGGGCCAATAGACTGACCACCGTAGAGTCCAGACCTCAACATCACTGAATGTGTTTGTGACTACTCGGATCACGAGAGGCAGAAAATACAACCAACTTCTAGGACTGAACTGGAGGAATGGAAAAATATCCCTGCAGATTTCTTTAAAAACCTGAAAGCAAGTCTCCTAAAAAAATGAAAGCTGTTGTAAAGGCAAAGTGTGAACACACTAAATACTGGACATTTTGACATTATATTTACTATAATTAGTTGCTGTGTAATTTTCTGTTTAATATGTTTTATGCTTTTTTTCCTGACAGTTTAACTATAAATTAAATAAATAACAGGTGGTCTTTTGCAGAACACACACATGTATCATCTGACAACGTGTGTAAGACTGTAGACATTAAACAGACACTCACCTGAAAACCTCAGTCTCTGTCTTCTCATCATCATCAACAGGAATAGCATCATCTTCATCATTCTCTATGAGAAATAGGCACAGAAAGTGAGTGAAGATCTCAGCACAAATAAGACTGAAAAACACAGTCATGGGCAAACAGAGCTGGGAGATTTAATAAAGGCTCAGAGGTTATTAAAAGTAGATTCCACTCAATAATAGTCTGCAGGTAGGGATGTGTTGCTATGGGAATAGGATGACGAAATCCAATATTTTTCATGTACAAATCTGCTGATGTGCATTTAGAAAATGTAGAAATTAGTACCAGATCTATCTGGATTAGCATTACGCAGACATGTTGTGCCTGTCGGGCCAAAACCTTATATATCTTAGTTTTTTGTCTTTTTCATTGTGTGAAAATTTCAATAGACCAATAGAAACAGCCTAAAATTACTCTGACAAAAATCCTGCCCCTTCAATTTACATCCAAAGTCAAACGCAGTTTTACCTTCTCCTGTAAAGTTACCATTTTGGAGATGTGAAGTTTTGTCCCGGTTTATTTAGAGAGAGTTACAAATGCAGACATTTTTAGCAAAGTAGTCTAGCATTACCTGAATGTTCAGCTCTTCCGGTAAACTATCAAGGTCTCCACAAATATTGGTTTGATCAACCAACAGGCATGATCGATCAGTCAGATCTAAGCGTTGGTCCAATGCTGAAACATTTTGCTTAGAACAATTATCTGTCAATACCAATATGATTTCAATATAGGGGTGGGCAATATCGCAAAAATACTATATCATGATACTTCAAGACATTTACACGATACACAATACTCATCACAATATTTTGTTTTTCTGAGATTTAATAAGTTGGAACTGACAAGGTAGAACCTTTAGTGCAGCATATAAAAAATCTATAACAATAATAATAATGAATTATGATCTCTGTTCTTTAAGCACTGACGATATCCACGATATGCCCAGAAAAGCAGACTGTGACATAACTGATCACGATAACTACACAATATCACTTTATTGCCCACCCCTATTTCAGTATCATTGTGTATCCCTATTTGGTACTTTCAGTACTGTTTAAAAGTGTCTGACATGTTTAATGAGCTGAATATGTGGCAGGATCATCATGTCATTTCTGTGAGTGGACATTTCCGCCACCTGGTTAGTTCTGCACACTTTTGCAAACTTCATCTAGCTCACATGTCACCAATCACCCAAAAAATAGGGAATGGCAGCAGTTTTCGTACTGCCTGTGTCAGCAGACTACCAGATGAAAGCAGTGGCAGTGCTGTTTGAGAGAGTTTATCTGTGCCATATGCTCGCCGCTGCAGTTGAACTGAGAGTGTTATCTTCTTCCAGCTTTGTGAAGGTAACGTTCCTCTCAGACTCCCAGGGGTTTGGTAGCTAAACACCGGTCAAACAAGCTTTTACCGAAGCCCACACGTTTGTGTACACACGCTGTTGGTCGGTTGGCCAGCTGGTCACCTAAGAGATCTGATGTTGTGCTGTAAAAGTTTATGACAGCGCTAATGAAAGTGTTAAAAAGGCCATCCGAGGGACAAATGGGACAGCAGATGATCGTGCCCAGCTAGCTTTAGGGTATTTAACGTTAGCCACTGTTTTGATCTCACCTCCATAAAGCCACTCCTCGTCATCCCCACTAGCACAGCCTGCATTTTCCGTTCCTTCAGTGGACATCCTGACCGGCTGACCACTGTTTTTAAACAGTTTTGTGGGTCAGACGCCCCTCTAGGGCGATTTTTAACAGGGGGATTGAAGCAGTTAGTTAGTTAGTCTGCGAGCAGACTGAGCAGCTGTCAGAGCTGGAGCCGCGCGCTGGCGTTTCCAAGGACACCGAGCAGACACGAGGGCGGCCACGCGCACGCTGAGCTGCACAGGAAGTTTGAGCTGAGCGCTGGAGCTGGACAGCAGTTAGGCTTTATTTTCAGATTGATCCTAAAATACCAGCATTGGTGTGAGAGCTTTTCTTATTAAAGGGCCCATAGCCTATATAATAGTTGTTCATGGCCATTTTCCACCTCTCCTTATCCATTTTTGTTGCTATTTCAATAAGAATAGTGTATGCAAACAGCTTCTATTCTGATTGGCTGATCTTTTTTCCCCTGAGGTTCACTTTAACGGTTGTGTGGCTTTATGTTCCAAACACAGTCATTTTCATACGACCATTTCCCACCTCTGTTCTTTAGAATTAAACTACTTTTGCTGTCGTTAAGACGTTGTCATCTAGTCTTATTTGGCTGCCGTGAATTGTTTCAAAATAAAAAAATAGGTGTAAAATTCAGGTCCAGAAAGTAAAAATCCTTCCCAGGACTTTCTTCCAACTGCCTGGACAGCGCTGCTGGTGGTTTGATCTAACTAGAGAAGCCAGGCAGTTGGAACAAAATCCTGGGAAGGATTTTTACTTTCTGGACCTGGATTTTACACCTCTGGAAATAGGTATTCATGTATTATCTCATTTAAACTAAATACATATCAGGCTGGGATTCTTTAAACGAGCTAATGATTTTTATTTATTTTTGCGTTAACTGACGCTGTAACGCGCATACCTTTGCTGGTCAGATTTTTGCCAGGCCTGAAAATTAAAAATAAAATGAGACAATCAATTTTCTTATCCTATTAGCTGGCTTATATTTCACAGCACTTGGCTACACGTGTAGCATCGCACAGATATATAGAGAATTTGAAGAAAAGCAAAGAACGTACTCTTCATTTAAATCATTTGAAGGAATCGTGTTTTTTCTATCTTCACAAAACGTTTGATTTGTATTTTTTTTACATTTGATTGTGTTTTTTAACATCCTCATATCGATGTGAGTGCATAACATATACGTTTTGTTTACATTTTTATATGTGCAAAATTATATGAGAGAGCGAGAGAGAGAGAGAGAGAAGACGAGACCAAACACAGTGACGCAGTTTTCCCGCGACCACGTTGTGCCACGTCACCGTGCTGAGCCCGGCGTGTGTTTGTTTTGGTGCGAGATCTCAGTGAGCGTCTCGACTTTCAGCGCACTTTTCACTGTTTTCCCCTTTTAAAGACGCACCGCCGCCTTGCAGACATGCCGCCCACGGACAGCTTCGCGTCTTTCCCCGCTCATGTGTGGGAGAAAGTGCTGTCGAAGGTGAAGAAGGCGGTGGTGTTTATGGACGAGCCGTGCTCGGAGAGTCTGCACTGGAGCGCAGGCGGCGCCGCGCGGCTCTTCGAGGCGGGAGCCCGCAACGTCAAGCGCTTCTCCAGCTTCGAGGCCGGCGCGGATGACGAGCCCAAAGCGGTGTTCGTGGTCAGCACGCTGCTGAAGGGAAGAACGGCGGACGTTATTAAAGACATAATCTCCCTCAGCCGCTTCCAGTACTGCGTGGTGTTCACGGCCGTGCCTCACTCGCTTCACCTCGGCCCCGGCTCCAGCAGCAGCAGCAGCGCTGAGTCCGAGGGGAGCCCCGTGTTCGAGCGCTTCGAGGAGAGGCTCTGCGAGTGGATGGGCGACATGAACTACACGGCCGAGGTGGCTCACGCCCCGGTCGCTTTCGCCCGCCTTTCGCCTCAGCTCCTGCTCGCGCCGGCCTTCGCTGACCTCTTCCCGCTGCTGGAGAGCGACCTCCAGTCTGTGAACGAGAAGAGGCCCGAGAAAAGGCGGTTTTTGAGCGTGGCGGACGTGGACGCGGCCGCGCTGCCCGTCCAGCTTCAGGTTAAAATGAAGGCGTTCGCCTCGGCGCTCGATGCTCTGCTTGAGTTCAGCAACGTGCGAGAAGAGAGCTTCGCCGTGGGGCCAATGAGCCGCCTGCTCGCGGCTGAGCTGGCCAATCACCCGCAGGCCAAAAACAGAAGGAAGACTGCGCAAAATAAAGCGTCGGTGGTCTTCATCGACAGAACTCTGGATCTGACAGGTGTGGGTTCTGTCAACAGTAGCGAGCACACCAACACCCCCCAAGTTGTCAGTAAAGCACTTTCACACGAACATCCCATAAGTGTTGCATCATCACTGTCCACTACCGTTGTAGTTCCACTGAGTGTCCACTTTAATAGAAACATTTGTCTAGGTTTCACTCACTGTGGGGTATTTAGCAAAGCAGGATTCCCAACTGGATAACTCATGCCAAAGGTTGAGCCTTGTCCAGTAACAATGTTCCTTTGCTCTTCTCCTATTTGACGGGCTTGTTTTGTCAGACTGAGAAGTCCTACTTAATGATATGGTCACTTAATGAGCCACATCTGTCTTGTAGGTCCATCATTTGGGTGTGCAGTTGCACAATCTAGGCCATCAACATCTGTTTGCCATGCACAGTTTGTCAGCCATCATTGGTCTGACCACTGGACTGCTGGTGAGCAGATATTAATTGAGTGGTGGATCGTTCTCAACAAAGCACAGCAACATTGTTGGCCCCCCAGCCAAGATCAACTTTGTGGTCAGAAGTTGACCACTGATGAAAGGCTATGGAAACACATGGTAGCAGATGGGCTGCAGTCTCTAACTGTACATCAGCAGGCTGGGCCTATAAGTAGGTGTTTCTCATTAAGTGACCAGTAAAGATATATACAGTAACAAGGGATCTATAAAGGAGCAGGCTCTCAATGGCCTTCTCATCTCTTTTCTAATCTATCCATATTTCTCAAAAATTCCGACTCTTATGGTGCCTCTCTTTCTCTGTTAGGGGCTGTGGGTCACCATGGCGACAACTTGGTGGAGAAGATACTGTCTGTGTTGCCTCCCTTGCCAGGTCATGTGACTGATGTTCAGGTGGATATGTGGGAGCTCACACACTTGCGACACACATCTGAGGTGCAGGGTGTCCTGGCCCCTGGATGCCTGGCTCAGAACCAGTAAGAACATTCACCTGTTACAGGACACTAACTGAAGAAGTGGCTGAGTTGCCAGTTTATTTGGTCACTTGTGGGCCTTTAGTGAAATACATCAACCATATAGTTACACTTTGTAGGTGTACAGTTACCGACATCTGTTACCGTTTATCAACCACCCTCTACTCTGTCTATTATTGGAAAGGGTCCACCATAGGGCCACCTCTGATCAGTTTATTTGTATAGTGCCACCTTCAATACAGAAGTGACGCTGACATGGTGGTGACATGTTAGTGGGTGCTGTACTGGTGTGACCCAATTAGGCACAGGAGACCACATTTAAACAATACTGCAATTAAGCAAGAAAGTTTTGTACAATACACTAAATAACAACACAATAAATACACAACACAATGCAAAGTATTCAATACAGTGCAAACAACATACTGGACAGCAGCATGAGACTGATGATAAAACCTTTAAGAATGTAAATAGTACAGAAGAGTATACAATACAGACCTGGAGACCTGGGTATATCAGTTGTGCATAAGGATATGAGTAAAGCAGCAGAGGACAGACCTGAGTGGTTAAATGTGGAAAATCATATACAAGGTGTAGCAACATAGCATAATATGAGAAATAGGTAGGTCATTATTTCTAATTCTTTACATTAAGACCTGTTGACATCATTCATTTTAGTGTTCTAAAGATCCTCTACTTAGGGTTTGTCCACTAGGGGAGAAGTCAGTGACGAGGTCAGTCTAGTTTCAGACCCACTTGGTGGGCCCTATTTGCACTGAGTGCCTAGCCAGGCATGACTGGGTAAGCTTGCTTTGCACTCACTTTCAGGCGTGTTTTTGGCCAAATAGTCCACAGAATGAATGCAGGCAATGGCTGACCAAAAACATTTCTCTGTAGTTTTATTTTCCCTTTCCCATCTGTGCAAGTAACAGACAAAGGATGTAGCATGTTCTCTCTCTCTTTTCTCATTACTATTGCATTCTAGACTGGCTTTAAACTAGCCTTAGACCAGGGGTCGGCAACCCACATATTAAGAAGAGCCATTTTGTCCTTTCAGCAAAAATCAGTGCGCCTTGGGAGCCACAACGTTTTATGTCCATTTATTGAAGTAAAGTTTTTCCATCTTTGCTGTAAATATTTCTCAGTATGTGCTAATGTCCTAGTGTAGACTAAAAAATAGAACATAAACAAAAACGCAGACTTACTTTACTCTGCTTTAAGCTTTAGCTCAGCTATAGCTACTTTTTTCACATCTCTGGCAGGAGACTGTTCTGCAAAAATAGAATAGTTTCTTGTGAAATGTCTGACTCTCCAGTTTGAATTATCCCGTTCCACCTTAAATGGTGCCTGAGATGCCAGAATGTAACTGCTGCACCATTTCAGGTGGAACAGAAAAATTTGAATGAGAAGCTGGCGAATGAGAAGCTGACTACAGCCTTTTTAGCGTTTGACAGTTTCTCGTTGCAGATTAAATGTATCAGGAGACCAGCTGAGTGCTTATGAATGCAAATGAGTCCATTAGTCTCAAAAATGTCGATGTTTGTCTTAGATCTTTCTCTTTGCCTTTTCATTACCTGCTAGCTAGGTGAGATTGGTATTGGTGTTGCTATGGTGACCAGCAGTCTGCGCGCCAACCCCCAGGGTTAAAGCTCGTACAATTAGCAGTTAAATTCCAGCAATTTATTGTTAAAATTGTGTTGAACGATCAGCAGAGCCTTATTTTATTGCAAAGGAGGATTATTTTATTTTTACCTACAAATTTAATTCTGCTGTGGAGCCGCAACAAGACAACAAAAGGGCTGCGTGTTGCCGACCCGTGCCCTAGACCAAAGTGGATTTTTAGTAGAGAGTCCACATTGACCTTGTAATATAGTCTGATTGTATTAATATGCCTATTTTGGAGGCATTTGTTTTCCTCCTGACAGTCAGGATTCTTTTCCATTGATGGATAGAAATTAGGCCTATTTAAAACAGGCGATGGAGTCTTAAATAAACGTCTGTTTCTATATGGTTTTGCTCTCCATAT